TTGCTTGTTTAAATCATTGCTTTCTGAAGTTGCTTGTTTTCGGCTAGACTAGCTAATCTACCTGACAGCCACTGTAGGTTGTACTACATGCTTGTAAAGGGAGGAGTGAGGGAGGGGTATTCAGTTGGTTGCAATCTGCAACCTCACCACTAGATGCCTCTAAATCTTATACACTGCTCCTTAAACAGATGGAAGAATTCTCATATCAGGGAGCGCCACTGAACAGGTACCTTCAAAAGGAAAGGAAATATTCTTAAAAGGAGAGTAAGTGAGAAATAAATGTATCATGTGTGTACATGTGTTTTCAGTTATTTGAATGTCTATTGTATGTACGTTCATTGTAGCATCTTCGCCATTGACATACTGACTACATTGGGTGGCACGCTGGTTTCAAGATTAGTCATGAGTCTTAAACCGAATGCCTTGTGCATTACTGAATATAACTAGAATCCCATATAGATGCTGGCAGAAGTCAGCATTATTGTAGAGGTGGGTTTTTTCCTTATGTTTTGACCAAGATTTGATATATCCCGAAATAAAGGCCTACCTGTAATAATCACAGGTTGAGATTAATATACTGACTACACTGGACGTCAAGTAGCTAACTCTGGTGACGGAGCAGAACCTCAATTGGTCCTGATTAAATGAGAGACAACAACTTTAGTGGATTCCAAAGAGAAAAGAACACAGGGGAAAGTAAGCAAGGGAGTAAAAAAGGCAGATCTAATCTATTATAAACAGTCTTTGATCAGAAAAAACAGCAAATGCGCACACTTTGTTGTTAGAGCACCAACGCACGCGATCCCACCATTTAGAACATATGCAGACTTTTTTGGATCCGGACCACCGTTTCCTTGAATAATGAAAGTGTTAACAACTCATCTCTTGTCTGAATTGGAGTTGCATGTTGTGGGACGAAGATGTGGCAACAGTCTAAGCAGTATGATCAGAGATAAGTCATGTGGAACATTGCATTGGCGAGAGAGAGAGAGAGAGAGAGAGAGAGATACTGTGAATAACTTGCGTCGCCTGGAAAGCATACATTATTTATCCAAAAGGGACCAAACGCTTCCCTCAGCAGCTGCACAACAGACAATAGTCATAATGTCTTTGCAATATAACGTGGATTCATTACTGCCTTATCATAAATAAGAAAGGAGTCTGGAGATTCATTTTGACCACATAATTGGGGTAAAAAATTAGATAAAAGCAAAAGCACTAGCTTTCAGCATGGAAGACATTAACAGTTAATAAAAGCATGAAAGGAGTAAATTAGGCTGTTGTACGGCTCTGATTCTCCGCCTGGTGAGGAACTCGCCGTTTGGACAGAACTCAGCATAAAAACAACCAGAAATCAATGCCATCTGACACACTGGGGGAGTTTTCCCAGAGTGTCAAATAGGGCTTCCTCAGACACCCTAATGCCAAATGTTGAGCTAGGTCACCATATAAGACTCTTCCGTTATGTATTAATGTATTATTAATATTGTATTAATCATTGTTGTAGTTCTAAGCAAAAAAGCAGACCTATAATAAAATGGTGAGCCAAAACATTATGACCACTCACAGATAAAGTGAATAATGCTGGTTATCTTGTAAGAACAGCATATGTCAGTTCTCTTGGTTATCGTGTTGGATGTGGGAAAAAAATGGGTGTGACAACTTGAATGACTTTGATCAGGGCCAAATTGTTATGGACAGACAACTTGGTTGGAGCATCTCTGAAACGCCAACGCTCATGTGGTGCTCCTGGTCAGCAGTGTTGAGTAACTACAGCTGTCCGAGGAGGGACAAACCACAAACTGTTGACAGGGCAATAAAGCTGAACCAACAGAAGGGCTGCTGTGGCACAAGTCACAGAAATCCTTAATGATGGTTACGAAGGGAATGTGTCACAACACACAGTGCATCACACCCTGCTGTGTATGGGGCTGCGCAACCGCACATCGGTCAGAGTGCCCATGATGTCCACCACTGAAAGTGCCTACAATGGGCATGCGATCTTGGAGCAATGAAAGAAGGTTGCCTGTTCCGACCTGTCTCATTTTCTGATTTTACATCACGTGGATGGCCAGGTATGTGTGCATCCGTCATTTACCTGGGGAAATAATAGTGCCAGGATGCACTGTGGGAAGAAGACAAGCCAGTGGATGGAGGGTGATGCTCTGGGTGATGTTCTGCTGGGAGACCCTGGATCCAGGCATTCATGTGGACCTCAATTTTACAAGGCACCACCCTTAATGGCAACTTTATTCCCTGATGGCAATGACCTCTTACAGCAGGTTAACGCGCCCTACCACACTGCACACATTGTACAGGAATGATTTAAGGAACGAAGAGTTCAAAGTGTTGTCCTGGCCTCCAAATTTCCCAAATTTCAATCCGATCGAGACACTGTGGGATGTGCTGGAACAACAAGCCTGATCTGAGACAGCTTCACCTCATAACTCACAAGACTTAAAGGATCTTTCACTCTCTGTTCTATCCATGTTTGGATAGACACAGCATAAATAATTGCAAAATAAATGGTTACACCTGAGAGTTAAACTGTTGACAAACTGCCTTTTTTAGAAATTCTGACGTCGATGAGAGCCCTATTGTTCATAAACGTTTCTGTTTATACACAAACAAAACACAAACTTGTGAATAGCCTATTTTAACTGCTGAAAAGCTGCTAGCTTCAAAGACCTGATGTTAGCAAGCCTTACCCAAGCTTATGTCATGCTACTAGCATGCTAAACTAGCACATCACACTGATATTTATCAGAATCAACATTCTCAAGAGTTTTCAACCACATTGTGTCCAGTTTTTACCTCAAACTAAATCAGCATGTGCTTTATAGCAAGAAGGGCCTGGGTTTGATTCCCCGGCCGGGCGACTAAGGTCCTTTCTGTGCAGAGTTTGCATGTTCTCCCTGTGTCTGAACGGGTTTCCTCCAGGTAATCCAGTTTCCTCCCACAGTCCAAAGACATGCAGTCAGACCAGTTGGAGATGCTAAACCCTAGCTGTAAATGTATATGTCAGTGCGTCTGCCCTGTGATGGACTGGGAAGCTATCCAGGGTGTTTTCTGCCTTGCACCCAGTGGGATAGGCCCCAGCACCCCCCGCAACACAGGAGAATAAGCAGGTTAGAAAATGTGTGTGTGTGTGAATCAGCATGTCTGCTGACGGCAAGAGACTCAAACACGGTGGTATCCCATGGTGGTATCCTGTGGTAGTATCCACAGAAATGGATGAAAATAAACCAATCAAAACTGTTTATTACTCATAGAATTGACCAAACACACTGTGCTCCATGAATCCCGCGTGTGTCATGAGTATTCTCTCTGACTTATAAGGCACTTTGAATAAAAAACATAAGAGGGGGTACACAAAAACGCAGAAGTCTTATTATAAATCTTGCTATTAATCAGGATCAAATGTATATGTACACACCCGACAACACCACTTGCATTAGCACTGTTCCATTTTCCATAGGAGCCATACAATGCATTTTCCGCTTGTTTTGGAGCTCCGTGTGTTTGACTTACAAAATTGCAAGTCATAGGTGAGCAAACACACACACACACTCAGACTTCCATGAATTCACTGGAATCAACACTCATACATAAACATAAACCCACTGAAAACCTTGTTTGGTTGGAGTCAGTAGGTGGTACAACACGAAGACCAGTTACAACAACACACACAGCTGCAATCCTGGTGACTCAGACACTACACACCCCTTAAGTGGTCTATGGACGTCACCTATCAGGCTCTGAAATGTATGCGATGTACAACCGCTAACCAAAATAAAGGAGAGCGGTCTACATAAACAAACAACTGTTCAACACATGGCAGAGTTCTCTTGCTCTGGAGGGTTGGGGGGGCCTTGCCTTTGGTCTCGCCTCAAGGCCTTCATGCTTTTAATAAACGAATGATTTCTCATCTGTCACTTTTTAGGAGGGTCTCACACTCGGCCCCAAAGAGACGTAAGATCAAACCTGATAAACCACAAAAATCAGCCACGTCACAGTCACACTTTAACTACTCTGTGGTGGGCCTCTATTAAATGAATCAAAGATGGACAGAGTTTTTTATTGGTGGGCCAACTTTTAATTAGTCAGTCACAGGTTTTTGTCACCATGTTCATGGGACCAACAAGGGAGCAGCAGACTTTCACTCTAACAGAGATCAGGAGCGATGGAGAAGTGGACTGTTGGATATGTGAATATGAGTGTATGTGTGTGTTTTTAGGTCATTGTGGGGACCAAATGTCCCCAGTGTGATGAAATCATGAACGCCTTGTGGTTGTGGGGATATTTAGCTGCTGTCCACAAGAAAAAATGCTTTTTTCCCACAAAACTGCAGCATTTATTAGAAAAGGCATAAGAGGCCAAAGCTGATGTTTTGGTTGCCAAGGTAAGGTTGGAGAGGTGAGCCAGGTTGTGGGTTCAAATCCCAGGACTGAAAGTGTATTCCTGGTTATCACTTAACCTGTCCCAGGTGGCACTGCTCTGCTGGTAGGGCTGTGCTGCTTCCAGACTGGGCTTAGTTAAGCAGCAAAATGACAAATTTCACTTGTAGTTAAATAAAACTGAGCTGCTACCATGAGCTTTGATATCTAACCCTTCATCAGTGGTCAGTTTCTGACCACAGAGCTGCTCTTGGCTGAATATTTAGGAGTGTTGGACCACTCTCGATCTAGCAACACTGCCTGAAACAGTCATACCAGTATCACAAATACTACCATTCCTCTACCATATCAGTGTCCAAAGCCATTTCTGAATATGTGGAGGATTCTAAGTGACATTCTACTTGGAGGTCCCACACCCACTCCACTTTGATAAATACTATAAACAGGTCAAACTGCATCTTAACATCTGATAAAATGGCCAACGAGTGTAGCTAGAAGGTAGGTGTTTCTAATAAACAGGCCACACAGTGTATGTTGGAAATATGCATAACTTTATGTTCTGATAAGGTATTAAAAACAAACGTGTAAGTGTTTAATACTTACCAGCGAGATGCTTGCCCATGTTCTCCAGTTCTTTAGAGAAGAGTAACTCCTGCAGCTGTAGAGCTCGTCTCTGGGCCTGAGGACTCGTGCCCCGAACGGGCTTCAGATCTGACGACCAGACGGAGTAGCGCTGCATACCCAAAGAAAAAAGAGAAGGAGAAATGAGAGTGATATTAGACGAGAGCGGGAGAGCGGAGAAGCCATATCTGTTATAATGAGGAGCAATTATTATTTTAATGGGCATTAGAAAAACAGTGGAAACCGCAAAGCTCGGAGATGAAAGCGTTCATGGCAGCGAGGAAAGAACTCTGTGTTTATGAACACTGCCCTGGACTGTCAGTAGTGGTTGAGCAGATTTAGAAATAACAATCAGTAAATCCAGGGGATCTAGGAGTACATGATGGCTGGCAGGACGCCCCACGGCAAGCATACTACCGCACTTAACGAACGATAAATCGTAGACGCGCTTTGATAGAAACCCATAGCTTTAGGTTCAAGGCTTCAAACAAAAACATTAATAATAGAAAAACAAAAGAGAAGTGTGATATAAATCTAGATCAAACATGACCAAACCACATCTATTTTAATGATTTGGAGTTGCTGCTTTCATATTTACTTTCCCACCAAGGCAACAAAGCGCTGGACCTGTCTGGTTAGATGTTTTCTCTGTCCAAATGTAATGAAAAACACCTAAGTTGTTCTGCAGTCTCTGTACATGCATGCCCTTAGAGGAGGGAACATATTGCCAAAGTGGACTAATGCTATCTGCAGGAGCAGAAAGACTTCAAATAACAGTAATTATGTAGAACGAAAACTCTGCAAGGCAATACACCACAGTTTTATTGGTAAGCTACATAAAACCTTCATCATAAGAGGATTCCATTCATTTTTTAATGCCTTTGATGCTCAGTGTGCGCAACAAGACAAGTGGAAGTATCATTTGCCAGGAGCGTAGTACTTTATATTTTGTTGTAGGTTCCGGATGACGGGCTCAATTAGGCCTGCCATCCAGAACCTTTTGCAGAGGCAATATCGTAGCCCGTGAGGTTAATCCAAGGCGCGATCATTGCTGGTTGATTTGTGGGCAGTCTTGGGCTGGAGGTTAGGGAACCAGCCCTGTGACCGGAAGGTCACCGGCTCGATCCCTTGAGCCGACAGTATGTGACTGAAGTGCCCCTGAGCAAGGCGCCTAACCCTCAACTCCTCCCCGGGCGCTGCAGATAGGGCTGCCCACTGCTCCAGGCAAGTGTGCTCACTGCCCCCTAGTGTGTGTGTGTGTTCACTAGTGTGTATGTGGTGTTTCACTGCACGGATGGGTTAAATGCAGAGGTGAAATTTCCCCATTGTGTTGCTAATAAGGGTCACTTAATAATTAATAATAACTTTATTATTATTATTATTATTATTTTCAGCTGGCATGAGACGATGCAGAAGTTACTGAATCCCATCATGCACCGTGAAATTCCAATAATCTTTGACAATGGTAGTTGGGTTCATTCAACGAAGCACTAACCTCAGACTCAGACGCTTTGTCCACAGAGATGACAGAGTTTGTCTGTTGTCAGCAATCTAATTGGCTGATCTTCAAATCTGTGTGTGCACACTTATGTGCGACTCTTTATTATGTCCGATGGGAAACATAGTTTTGCAAACTACGCGCCGTAACGAGCCTTTTGGAACGAGTTATAGTTGCTAGCCCTATGGTTTGTTATATTGCATGTCAGTCACAACAGCCCCTTCCTGTTAAAGTTGGCAGTTCTTTGTCACATTGCATGACCAAATGCACCAAGCTCTCTGATGGTAAGCAACGTTTGAAAACAATGTTTTGTTCACGTGGCATGGCTGTCATACTGACCCTGTTGAAACGCAATGCTAAAATAGCAACACATTGTTAAATGCTTTTCAGTACATGCGTTTCATGCACATATTTTCTGTACTAAATCTGAGATTATGTACATACAACTGAGAATGAATGTATATATGGACCATTCTATCGAATCAGCTCACACTGCCGTCCCACAGCAAAAAATCTATTAAAAAAAAAACAAGGAAGCATTTAGACTGTAGATATTAATAAGGATTATGTTATGAGCTATTTAAACCCAAAGTATTAATAGAGATAGTACTAAACTAAGTATATACAAAATCATTATTTATGTATAGAGTGTTTATTCAGTAGTGTTATGATTGTTTTGGTAGTGACAAAACAGAACGTTCAATCATTTGTTTTATAAGATAACCATAATTAAGGCATAGGGTCAATCAAAGCAAAAGGATTTTAGTCTAAAGTCCGAGTCAGTTAATAATCTGAAATGCGTTTTGAAATCTGACGTTGAACCAGTTCTATAGAATGATCCGTATATTCTATAATAATCCTTAATAAAACACCTGGATCTTCCTAATTGAAAAAAGGACTTAGAAGAAATACAAACACATACAGGTTTAAAAATCGTGATTCATCTTGTCTGAAGGCAGAAACGATCTTAACTTTAATGTACAATGTACGTTAACATACTAAAATATTAATCTAAATAATATTGGACCATTTCCATTGGTCCTTTAACATAAATGCCCACACAACGTAAAGGACAGCTGGCGTTACATGGTTTTGATATGGCAGTTTTAATGTATCAGTTGTTGACATTACATGAGTCATTATATTTTATGGAAGATTATAGGAAAGTAAGAAAAAGTTCTATTTAGATTTCAGGTTGACTTTAGTGAAACAAGACTTGCTCTGGTCCGAGCTGTTACTGCCTTCAACAAGGCAGCAAGCAAACTTAGCAAAGCACTAACTGACAAATATACTGTTCCAAAACGATGACGTTCCTTCATTTAAAGAGGACAAGCTGCTTAACGAAATTTGTAAAACAAGCTCAAACCCAACAATAAGAGATACAAGAAACCCTGGAGTTCATCCTGAGACACCAGAGACACCATGACCAATCTGTAATTAGCATTCCCCTTAGCTGGCCCAGCGGGGGAAGAATTAGCAGAGATGTTTTTGGTGGCCTGCCTGTTCTCCATGACATCATTCAGCATGTCTACTCCATCATTCCTCCAGGCAGGGCAAACAGAATATCTTTCTGAGTGGATTCTCTTATCGGAGACGACGTAACATCTGTAAACCTGTAGCCCTCAGCTTCAACAACGCTAATGAAGAACATATTTATGCTAGCTTTCTGACCTTGCTTACCCCACTGCAGTCAGACCACAAAGAACACACAGCACGCTCACTGATTCTCACTGTCACTCTGTATAGTTTGATATATGAGGTGATGGGGAGATGCACAGAAACCTGGCTAGAACAGAAGCAGTGAATCCAAAACGTTCTAGGGAACATGAGGAGCAATAACATAAGCTTGAAAAGTGAGTGCATCTGGGTGTGTGTGAGAAACGATGGTGAACATCTTTGACCTCATAATGATTTGATTCAATCCTGATCCAGGAAATGATTCAATCACGAAAACTCACAATCTCACCATAATTTGATTTGATTTGATTTATTTATTTTGTTGACTTAAAAAACAGAAATAAGTATGGAGGAACTTCTCACAAGGAAGTGATATAGTCAATAAAAACAACACACCAAGCCTTTTTACCTATTCACTTTTGAAAATAGGCCACAAATATTAGTTTCAGCCAAAACATTGAGCACATATTCGAGTAAATATTATAATCAATAATAACAGTTTTCTGAGGACACAGTCATTTTGTAGTTGAACAGTAAAAACCACCACCATCGGGCTCTGTGGTTTATTGATTCTAAAGCTGATACGTTTGTCCTATGTACGGTTCTCCCCTGTGTTTCACTGTGATTTCAACTACAATTTTGTTAAATAATCAAAATAAGAATGCTGCTAAATAAATGCTAACTGTAAGCACGTCTGCATGTTTAAATTACATCATAAGACAGTTAATCTCACTAAAATGCCAGCTAGCTGTGTCAAGTGTGGTAGTTAAGTGGCTTTGGCAGTTTTAGGCCACAGTTTGAGAGGCTGGTGTTTAAATAATGTATGATTGTAGTAAAAAACCCAATTCCAAAAAAGTTGGGACAGTATGTGAAATGCTAATAAAAGCAGAAAACAGTAATTAGTACATTCAGTTAGAAAAGTAAGCGCTTTTCCATTTGAAAAGTGAGTGCTGTATTCAATTGAAATACATATCGCTGTTGTCAGAACAAAACCTCGTATCTCCAAAATGGTAACTTTCAATGTAAATCAATGGAACCAGACTTACTTTTCCAAGTAATTTTGGGCTGTTTCTTTTGGTCCATTCATCATGAATTTACACACAAAGTAAAGGACAACAGACACTTTCAAATTATGACATAAACTGATAAACAACAAAAATGGAGATACAAGGTTTTGTTCTGACAGGCTCCGATTACTGGCGGGAAGATGGGGTCCAAGTCCAAAACACCGCCAAGGGACACGTGTAACGGCAGGAGGAGGATGTGAGCCGCTACAGATGGGGAATGATGATGACAACCACAAGAGGTGGGACATCAGTCCCAAAAACTCACAGTTTGAGAGGGTTTTGGCCTAAAACTTTTTTTTTAAATGCATTCATGGCAAAGAGGTACATGCAGGGTGTTGCGTGGAAAAATAGTTCCCAAAGAACACTTTTTTTTCAGATGTACCACTATTGCCATTATCAACATTACATATAACAACTCAGAAGGTTCAATGGTCATTTTGGATAGTAAATAAAAGGGCTATATTTATTAGAGATGGGACTGTTCCGATCCTATATCGGTATCGGGTCCGATATTGACATCACTTCACTCATCGGATATCGGACGGACAGGGCCGATCCACATACCGATCCATTTTCCAGTCCGCAAATTGCACTGGACCACGAAACACAGGAATACAAACTGCGTCCAGCTAAAGACACACACATGCTTAGACACAGCCCCACACCCTCATATTACTATCTTTTTGGAGGCTTTCCACTGACCTAAACAAGAATATTAGTAATGGAAACCAGCAAACCTTCCCACAGCATCAGAATATTTATGTTTTCCTATCGTCATGGGGATATGTGGTACCACAAAGAGAACAAGACAAAGCACATGCACATACGGAACACCTCAGGAACCACCAAACATACATACAACCCCTCTGA